TATAGTAGATGATAATGAGTATAAAACTTGCTACCGTTCTGCAGCACCCCATCTATCCTCAACTGAAAAAAGCTTATTTTTCACCTTAATGGATCGCGATACTTCTGATTGGACAAAAGGAGAACTTAAAATGTTCAGATTTGCTCATGAGTTGACAACGAGTAATATAGAATTTTGTTATGAAAAAGATGACCAGCTTCCAAGACGCTTCTTGTGCCTTACTGGTGACAATCAAATAACAATCTTTAACGAAACTTGTAAAACTTCACCACCACCACACATCGTCTCTGGCATTGTTGACCATAGTACTGTGTACCTGTTCACTAAATCCAACGATATCTACTACTTTAGCAAAAAAGCTTTTGATGGAAAGACAGTTCCATTAGACAAGGTCAGCCGAAAAATTGTATGGAAGGATTCAGTTCATACGACTACATCGTCTGCATCTGCCAGTGAGTATATTTTTTTATTTGACTACTCAACTGTATCCTAAACTTTATCTTTATTTTGCAAAGATAACAGCAGTCCTGAGAGTAGCAATGCTATTGTGGTGATCATCGTTCCACTGCTCGTAATTCTCTTGTCTGCCATAGGAATCACAGTGTACTGCTTCTGTTGCAGCAAAAATGATGACAAGCAGGAAGTGCCAGCAAAGATGGTGGTGATAAAGGAGCAAAAAGGCCCAAGCTTCAAAACCAACATAGTCAGCAAGAAAAGTGACAAACTCAAAAGCAAGATTAAAAGCAAAACTAAAAGCAAGGCTAAAAGCAAAACGCAAAATAAAGGCAAAAGTAAGATCAAGAGTAAGAAAACCAAAAGCAAGAGTAAAAGCAAAAGCAAGAGTAAAAGTCACGCTGAAAGTAAGCATTCTAGCAAGTTCTCGTCAAAAGCAAGCAAAGGTGGAAAGTCTTCAGCTGCCGGAAGTAGTTCTGCTGGTGAAAAGAAAACGGACAAGTTTGATAGTCCTACGAGCAGATCAAAGAGCAACAAATCTGACAACAATTAGAGCCGTGGAATACTTGTCCTTAAAAAATCCTCATAAGTTTTATTTTTGTATGCCAATAAAAGATTGCAAAAAACTAAGGACACGTTGCACTTACTATGATTTTGAATTTTTCACCTGCAAGAAGTGAGCTATAAAAGGGGTCGTTAGTCAGTGAGCAAATCGTACTGTGTTGCTTATGCTGACGATTGAAAATTTGCCAACTGCTTTAAAATGCGCTTCAATTTCTCCAAGTCGATGTTGATCATTGCCATTTTGTCTGCTCTTCTTTCACTCAGTGGTAATGCCAACGATTCAATAAAGGTATTTTATCAGCATAATCTTATAATGCTTTCTCATCATTCATGTTTTCCAGAACCTTGTTTGTGACCTGAAAGAACACAAGCGTCATATCTTTGCAGCTGGAGCCGTTTCCTTAAATCTGGTTCTCTTTGTGAGTGGATCCGGTGACAAAACTGACTTCAACAAGGGATACCAAGTGAAGAACGAGGATGGAGAACCGGCGGATGGCAAGTTTGGGAAGTTGGAGAATGCTGTTGCTTTGTCCAAGTACAATGGCGTGAATAGTGATGACGTCATGTTTGTTGTCAGTGANCGGATGGCAAGTTTGGGAAGTTGGAGAATGCTGTTGCTTTGTCCAAGTACACTGGCGTGAATAGTGATGACGTCATGTTTGTTGTCAGTGATTCGGCAAACAGCTTTCTGGTCACAATGAACAGCCAAAGTGTAAAACTGCTTGACTTAAGCTCTGGTTTCATCAACTCAACTGGGGTAAAGGGCAATATTGCCATAGAAAAATGTTACCATAAAGGAAGTTTGCACCTGTCTTCAAGCACTCCTGCCACTTTTTTTATCCTCAAGTCAAATGGAGCATTTTATAAGCTTACCTTTAATGGCCACAATGGTATTCTATCATCAAATGGCTGCTCTTTGAAGGACACTAAGCAAATGTGCCTGAGCAATAGCTCTGCTCTAGTTACCATCTCCTCCTCCTGTTCTGGTTCTCCCCCTCCTTCCTCGACCTTCACCGCTGGCTTCATCGGCCTTCATACCGCTTTCATCTTCAGCAAGTCCAATGAGGTGTACCTTTTTGAGAGTGGTGCCATTACCAGTGGACGGACTGTGGTGCTGACCAAAGTGAGCAGTGACGCAGCCTGGGTCGACTCATCAACGCCGGACAGCAACTCATCAACATTATCAGCCAGCACACAAAACAGTGAGTACTTTTATGATGAGCTGTACATAACTCAACTAACTAGCTAACACTGACTCATTTTTTCTCACTTTTAGGTACACTGAACTTGACCATTGCGACCATTATCATGCTTGTCATCAGCCTGGTCCTCCTCATTGCGATCGTCTACTTTGCCCGGTGCCACTGCTCCCGCGACCTGATTCAGTTTGAGCGCCTGGTTTTCTACAAGGTACAAAGCCGTTCTGTTTTTCTACTTACTACCATTAAGGGACTTTAACACCTGCAGAGAGCCAGTGAAGAGTCTAACCCAAATCAGCAGAAGGCTACGAGCACGACCGCCAGGAAGCGACGACCCTCTCCGAACGCCTACGTCACCGAGAAGATGATGGAAAGGAGACGGGAGAAGGCGAAGAGGGCCAAGGAGAAGGCCACCGCAGCAGCTGAAACAGCCGCATCAGCATCAGCCAGCTACTCCGCTCAGAAGCAGAAGAAAAAGAGCAGAAGAAAGAGCAAAAACAAAAGCAAAAACACTTCTGACGGCTCGAGGAGTCCCAAAAACTCCTCACAAGGAGGAGGTACAAAATCAGGCACTATACAAAGTCGAGCAGGTAGGCGGTCGACAAGCAAAAAGAGGAGTGACACTCGGTAGAACACATACACACACTGACTGGACACTGACCAAAGTGGACGACCATCTATCCAGCAACACTTTTATATGAGTAGGAAGAGAAGAGGATGTCTCCTTTAGGGTTTAGAGTTCGATAAAACTATAAAATTAAAAAGCCTTTTGATTGTGCATAAAACACACTGTTAACGAAAGTTTAAGAAAAGATTCTGGAAACTTTAATCGGATTGAATTTACACTTTCTCAGATTTTACAAAAAAACGGTGAAGTTTAGCTACACCATAGACCGCCAGTGCTCGCGATGTGAGACCATAACAGCCACCAAAACCACCACCTTCACTTCATCATCTTCTTCATCGTCCTCTTCGACCTTTTCCTGTATCATGGTAGGTCACACGCGCAATGACATCTTAATTTCGCCGACACAAACACTGACACTCATACAAGGATCGGCATCGCCTGGCAGCTGTTTTTCATTCCTTGGTCACCACAGCCGTCGCTTTTGTCTTTTGCTATCGGTCAACACCATTATCGTTGCCGTCATCGCCTTTGAAGAAAACGCTCCAATCGTAAGTGCTTCTGCAAAGCTGAACCGGACACTGTTCAGCAGTCTTGAGTTGTCATTTAAGTAGCCACAACGATCATAGAAATCATAATGTAAGACACACCTTTCGCATAAGGGAGAACCCACTGCAGATCATTCTCAAGTCTAGGCCAAGGAAGCACTCCAAGTGACTGTTTTGATAACAATTAAGTTCACATTTTACTTCAGTGATGGGCAGCAGTAGTAGAAGCTTTCAAACAATCCGATGGCACAAACTCGGCTGGTGTTGGACAATGTAGATCTGACAGGAAGTTTTACTGGTTTCTGCCTCAGCTGACTGTTGACTCCAAATGGCTGCTGAAAAGCTGAACAGTTCTCTGCCAAAACACGTTAAGAACCGAGAGTTTTGTCATGGAAAATAGAAGTTCATTTGGTGAATTATGGTGGTGAAAAGGTTGAAAACCAAAAAGACAACAAAGGCAACAACAACAACAGCAACGGAGTTGAGACTTTGCGTAAGACACTAGCGACGGCCATGAGAAGGAAAGAAGGGCAGTTTGTAATTGGTGCTGATCATTGTGTGTGTGTGTGTGAATGTGTTGGCGAGATTAAGATGTGATCAGCAAGAAGATAAAGTGAGCCAATTTGGATGTAGGAGAAGGATGAAAAGGGGGTGAAGATGATGATGAAGTGGAGAAAGTGGTGGTCTTGGTGCAGTGATGGTCTCACACCCTGACAAGTCCTGGCGGTCTGCCGCAATCAGGTCTGACTCGACCTGACTGCGGCTGTCGAATGAATGCCAATGTATCCATAACAGCACCTGACGATTGGTGGCTGTGAGGCTGTGCAATTCGCTTGCCCTCAACTTCCGCTCTCTCCCTTTACAGGAGAAAAAGTAATATGGGCAAATATCACAGCTTACTGTGCTCTCATTGTGAGAGTACCTCACTCACACTGACTCTCATTGACTGTGTGTTCTGTATGCGCATTGAACACCGTAACGTTGAATGTTTGTCCTCAAATATCACTGGGGGAAAAAGTGTAATTAGTGCAGCGGATAGCATCACTCCCGAGGGCTCTGTCAGAACTGTCTCCTCTTTCTGTGCGGAAGCAGCAGCAACCGTCGGGTCATGGACTCTGTCTCTGGTAAAGGTTTTCTGTCTGGTGGTGCTTAATTAAATAGTTGTTAGGAGTCCTCTGTAACATAAAATCAACATGCGAGGTGAGGGAAACTGCATTTTCACTAAAACTAGACGAACATTTTCAGAGAGTAACTACGCCACAAAAAGAACTATTGACGGAAGGAAGGAAGAGAGATAGAATGAAGAGAGACATGACAAATGAACACTTAAGTTGGCAAAGTGACTGGAAAATCGTAGTAGTGAAATGACTAAATTCCAGTTTAGAAGAAGTTTAGATAGACTTTTGCTGATATACTGTGATTATTCAAACAGGCGGGAAAGTGGTTTGAGAAGTGAGTAACTGCGTATGCGAGCACTCCGTGCAGGCGTCACGTGAGTGGACCACGTGAGTTGTTCTCGCCTCGTGTTTATTTTTTTCCAACAGGATTGATTTTATTTTGTGAATCTTGGAACACTTTTTATTCTTTTTAACATATAAAACACCTTTCCAGTGACCGGCAAAATGAGCAAAAAAGAAGCCGACGACCGCTTCTCGAAACTGACCAGTGACCCGAGGTTTCGGACCTACCGAAAGGTGGACAAGAAGCTGAAGGTTGACAGCCGCTTCAAGAGCATGTTCACTGAGAACAAGTTCAAGCTGAAGTATTCGATGGACAAGCGAGGCAAAAATAAGAAACACCTAATTTCAGACGACTACAAAAAGTTCTACCGACTTTCCGATGAGGAAGATGCTGAACAGAAGGACGCTGAACAGGAGAAACATGAAACTGGTGACGCTCCTTCAACAAAGGAAAAACAAAATGGGAAAGCAGCAGAAAAGAATCTAGAGGACAAAGATGAGGAGGTGGAGCCTTTAGCGGAGAGAAAACTGACCCACAAAGTGGGCTACCACCGAGGATTGAAGCACGTCGAAGACGATGATGATGATGAGGACGACAGCAGTAGTAGCAGCAGCAGCAGCAGCAGTGAATCCGAAGAGGGAAGCGATGATGAGGAGAACCTCGAGGTGGAGCACGACTGGGCAGAGCTGGACCGAGACGCGGACCAGATCGAGGAGGCCACCAGTAGAATCGCCATCTGCAATGCCGACTGGGACCGCATCAACGCGCAGGACCTCTTTGTGCTGCTGAACTCCTTCAAGAAGGCCACCGGTGACATACACTACGTGCGCATCTACTACTCCAAATTTGGCGAAGAGCGCCTAAAGGTGGAGGAGATGAAGGGCCCGTCGGAGTTCATCTTTGGAAAGGCCACCAACATCGAGGAGATTAAAGACGAGGAGGAGAAGGAGCACTCGGAAAATGAAGATAAGGATTCAGACGATGATAAGGAAAGCGACGATTCGGAAGACGAAGAAGAGGAAGAGGAAGGGGACGCTGAGGCTGCCGATCCAAAGGCCGTTGAGAAGCTGCGAAAGTACCAACTTGAGCGTCTTAAGTACTTTTACGCCGTCGTCGAGTTTGACTCACCGGAGACGGCGGAGGTAGTGTACAACGAACTGGACGGCCTGGAGTACGAGACCAGCTCCACCACGCTGGACATTCGATTTGTGCCCGAGGAGATGGACTTTGAGGACGTGAAGCTGAAGGAGGAGTGCACCTCGATGCCCGATCAGGCCAGCTACCAGGCGCCCAACTTTGTGAACAGTGCCCTGCAGCAGAGCCACGTCACGCTGACTTGGGACGAAACTGACCACCGGCGAAAGACGGCTTTTGATAAGGCCTTCGAGAAGGAGGGCAACGAGGACGACCTGAAGGCCTATCTGGCGACGTCCTCTTCTGAAGAAGAGGATGACGAGGTGGCCGAGATTGACGATGACCTGAAGGACGAGGAGAAGATCAACAAGTACAAGGACCTGCTGAAGTCGCTGGACAAGAAGGACGACGATGACGTGGAGATGGAGGTCACCTGGGATCCCTCGCTGAAGGCGAATGCCGAAAATCGAATCAACAAAAAGGGAGGTGATGCGTCTAAGGCTTCAGCTACCAATAAGCCGAATGACGACGACTACTCTGCCGATTCGGAGGACAACGATGAAGAGGAGGAGGCGGACGCTACAATTGAGGACAATCAGGATGATCAGCTGGTGAGCAGCGACTCGGAGGCAGAGAAGAAGGCAGAAAAGAGCAGCAAAGACGCCTCCAAGGACAAGTACAAAAAGTGGAAGAAGAAGCGGGCGGCGAAGAAGGCGGCGGCTGAGGCGGCTGCCAAGGGCGCCAACTCCGAGGACGCCTCCAATTTGGAGCTCCTCATGGTGGACCTGGGCGGCGGAGGAGACAAGGGCGACAGGAAGCACTTCAATTACAAGGAAATTGTGGAGAACTACAGCAAAAAGGGAAAGTCAAAGGATGCGACTGCTGCTGATCAGCCCAAGGACTCATTCAAGGTAATTACCCAGTGTTTAGTGAGGTATCAGCTAATCTCGTCTTGCTAACCAATCTGTTTCACATGCCAAAATAGTTTGACGCTGATGACCCTCGCTTCGGAGCCATCTTCACCTCGCACCTCTACAACGTCGACCAGTCAGATCCGAGCTTCAAGAAGACGGAAGCCTTTGATCAGATTCTCAACAAGCGAACAAGTAAGGCGGCGGCGCTGATCAAGGATGAGAAGAGTGCTGTCGCGCAAATGGAAAGTGCCAAACCAGCCAAAAATGCTGCTAAATCGTGGAGTAGTCTGGCGAATCGGGTGAAGAGTAAAGCTGCATCTGCTGCTGTCGCCAATGACCGAAAGCGGACATTGACGAAAGCAGAAGGTGAAGGAGGTGGCCGATTCAACGCCAATAAAAAGTTTCGGAGATAATATTTGGTTGACATCTGTTTTTATATATTTCTTTTTTTGTTTATCTACCAATTTGTAATGTACAGTACAACAGAATATCACTTGCTAAGCGTTTTTGATAAGATTAACATAATTTTTTCACTGAATCGCCTTTTGTTGCTTTTCTTGTTGTTGTCGTTCCCAGATTAGGCGATGTTTTTCCTTCATGAAGGCGTCAATTACGGTTGAGTAGGGGCCCAGTTCACCGTCTGCGTGGCAAATGTTATGTTATGTGGAAATGTTAGAACTGACAATGAACAATCTAAAGGTGATGACACTTACATTTGATGAACAGGTTCAACTCTGCCTGCTTCAGATCGTCTTTCTCCTTCAGGCAGATTTTGTCCAGGTCGTACCACTCGTTGATGCTTCGCTCAAAGTAGGAGCACCGAAAGTAGCGTTGCTTCAGGATTTTGATGATTTCAAAGTCGACTTGTCTGAATGGAAAGAAACGACAAATGGGTTGTTGCGTCTGCAGATCAGAAAGCAAAATGTTTACCGGTCACGTTTGTACTGCTCATTGGCCTCGTGAAAGCAGCCCATGTCGTCGTTGTAGCACTGATCAATGGTAGGCACACGCTTGAACTTTCGGTGGTAGTACGGGTAGGGAGGGCCGCGGTACTTCTCTACGACGTTCTCTGCAAATGAAAAAGAGAAAGGTTGATGATATCATTGAGAGAAAAAGAATAAAGAGCTAAAGCAAACCTCTAATCCACTCGACGGGAGAGTCGACCAGCGTCTTCAGGACTTTCATCGCCTTGACGATGGGCGCCTGCACCTGGTCCTCCAGCGGCAGCATGCCCCAGACCTTGTTCATCTTGATCTCCTTTTTCGGAGCACCATCCTGGTGGTCGCCTTCACCCATTCTGCTGGAGAGTTGTGGTGGTTGATGCGGAACCGGGCCGAAAAGGAAGATAATCCGAAGAAGCACCAGCAGCACCGAAGCAGCGCCTGGTGTTTACTTTATTGACCTCCAGTGAATCGTGCTGTACAATCGTAGACAACGTGACGCGCCGCTGGAAAGAGAAGAAGCAAGCTTTTCTCGCCGCCAACTTGTCAAACCATTGTGCGCATTACCACACCGGCTCTTATCAACACACCACCGATTTTAATACTCAATCTTTCTTTCACCACCGAACCTGCCTTCTTCCAAGAATCATGGCCTCTTCAGCACCAGTCCTTCTGGAGATCACCACCAATGAGAGCACCTACGTCACCGAGCGGCGCTTCCCTGAGAGCATGACCATCAGCGAGCTGAAGAACCGCCTCGAGGTGATCACCGGCGCCTCGGCGGCCACCATGAAGCTGTCATTCCACGACGTTACCGGCGCCCTGCTGGGAGAGGGCGAAGACGGCAAGAACCTGGGCGACTACACGCCCACCGGGGCGGAACGCCTTCAGCTGCGCGTCAAGGATGAGAACGTCATCAAGTGTGACGACCTGTCGGGCGTGGCCAAGTACGAGATATCGGCGGAGGAGTACGAGAAGCGCGGCGACTCGGTGATGGCCTTTAAGATGCGCAATAAGCTGGGTCGATTCTCGGACAGTGCTGCGGCAGCGGCGGCGAAGGCCGATGAGGAGAAGGCGGAGCACATCAAGGTGGGCGACCGGTGCGAGGTGACGGTGAAGGGCGTCAACCCTCGGCGTGGTCAGGTGAAGTACGTCGGCAAGCTGCCGGAGAAGATGGGCGCATTTGTCGGCGTTCACTACGACGAACCGTGCGGCAAAAATGACGGAACATTCCAGGGAGTGAGGTGAGTGCTTCATTTGGTGTTGTTTTCTTTCATTACATCTCGTTCTCATATTTCATCAGGTACTTTGAGTGTCCGGCAAACCACGGCAGCTTCGTCCGCCCTGCTGATGTCAAAGTGGGCGACTACCCCGAGGAGGAAATCAACTTTGATGACTAACAACGAAAAAACCAAAACAGAAAAGTCCCCGGTGCAGCTTCACTTCAAGTGTCCTTTCCTCATTTTCTTACTTAAATGATTCCAGAGAATGAAATTTGATTTGATTTGATCAACATTGATATGATAAAGATGAGTCATACTTTATAAACAACATTATTAGGTACATGAACATTTCATCACACTTCAGTTCGATGAAGGGAAGAGGAGGTGGTGGTGGTGGTGGTTACTGCTTTGATGCCGCCATCATCGACGAGTGAGTGATAGAGAAAGAGAGGTGTTTGAAGAATTATGAATTCTGTGTGGATTGCGTGAATCTATGTGCTTAGGAAATGTTACAGAAGTCTACCAGGGAGACCTATCAGATTACTACCGGGCTAGTCACTACCACTTGAAGCGAAAGTTCCTTGGGGCAAGTCGACCAGTTTGGTGTGCTTCACCTTCTTCGTTTCCAGTTCACTCTGCGTCCAGAGGAGAAGCTTCAGAAGCGTCACCAGCTTGGGAGTGGGCGTCTCGTCGTCGCCAAACTGGTCCTTGAGAATGGCCTCGTTGATGCGCGAGGCCAGGTGCTGCCGGTGGGCGGTGTGCAGCAAATCAGAGTAGGGCGACTTTTCGGGGTGCTCAAAGGCGAGCAGAGACAGTGTGCGTTCCAGCTCCTCCAGCTGAATGCAGCTGCCGTCCACGCCGAGCTGCTTCTGGGCAAAGTTCAGAGCCTCCATGATGTTGTGGTTCCGGATGAGCTCTATCAGTTGCTGTTGCTGTAGTGGTTATGGTAAAGAGGCGGTGTTAGTGTATTCCCATCTAAACCCGAACACTCTACAAACCTGGAGCTTGAAGTGAATATGTCGGTTGTTATCAATCAACTCCGGGTAGAAGTCATTAATAAGACGAATGGCCTGTTCAATGTTCCCGTTCTCGATTTCACTGCGCACCGCAATTCGCTGATCAATCTGGTCATCAGTCTCGTTGTAGGTCTTGATGTCTGTCACCTTATTCGAGTCGATGTTCGCCTCTGACTTGAAGCGCTCGGCGGCCTCCTTGAAACCCTCCGAGATCAGGTAGTCCATGATGAGGAGGTTGATTTCATTTCGCTTCAGCGTCATCTTGCCCAGCGCATCCATCCATTCTTCGAGAGGGGTGCTGCTCTTTTCAGCGCTGCCGTCTCGGTCTCTGTTGTTATTGTTGTTGTTGTTATTATTCCCGGACGACATTTTGGTGAAGAAGATAAATAAAAGAGTGTTCGTCCAAACCAAATAAAAGAAGATTGAGAAATAGAAAATCGGCCGTCAGTGGACGACGACGACAAAGAAAGTGAGTGATGCTTTTCTCTTTCAGTCTTTTAGGTTGGATGGAGGAGTGTGTAAACAAAGAGCAGCAGCTGAAAATTTTTTTCTAAACAATCGAAACAATCGATTGTAGTATCGCGACGACTGAGACGTCACAGTTTTTGGGTTGGACGATATTCAAACTGGATCTTTCATTTCAGGGATTGTAAAGCGTGGATTGCAGTGCACAAATTAACAGTTTTATTTTGATTCGGAAGTGTTATTGGAATTTATCAAAGCGTGTGTGTGAATGTGTGTGTGTGGTAAACTGACAAGCAGAATGCATGGCAACTGGAAAGAAGGAAAGAAGGTGATGAAGTCATACTTCGTGGTTACTAAAATTAAATTCAAGGAGCTGCCATTCACTAGCAGGTGCATAATAAAAATAAGAATTTGAGTAAAAGAATAAGTTTGTGTTCTTCGTATTTGTTATTATGGTCAAAGGCAATCGAGTAGTTGTGGTGTCTTTAGCTTAGGCGGAGATCTGCACCTCTTGCAAGAGTCCCTTGGCGGAAGTGAAGATCTCATTTTCCACCAGATCAAACTCGGATTCCTGTAGAACCGGTTAAGTGTTAATATTAAAACAAGGTAACTATTTGGGTTTTAATTGAATGTACCTTGACCAGCTTCTGGAGATCCTCATAAGCAGCGTTTATACGTCGCTGGCAATCAGGCAGGAGCATGATGGTTTCGTTGATCACCTCTTGCTGTCGAGAGAAAGGAAAATGTAATTTGAAACAAGGTAAAAACCATCATCGTCATCATCTCCACTTACCTGCTTGTTGGTCTCGTAGACATCTCGCTCCTCTTCCTTCATCTTCTCCAGACGCTGTTTCTCTCGTTCCAGCTCCTTCTCGTAGGCAATCTTCTCCTTGACCAGACTGTGAAAACAAAGGACAACAGACAAAATTAGTGAAACTACCTGACAAAAATTGTGCCCCATGACAACAAGAACGTACCGCTTCAGAACGCCGGTCTTGATGCGAATCTGATTCACTCGTGGATCGGCCATGTTATTGCTGGTTGTTGGTGGTTGTCGGGACAGTGGAAGTCTGGTAAAACGGGTGTCTTCTTCTCCTTTCTTCTTCAGATGATGTCAGTGGAATGTGACAAGTGATGACAGTGCTTTACAAGAAGGCGAGAGACAAAGGTGCAATGAGAGGCGAGCAATAAAAATGCGCGACTGATAAAGGCGGCAGTTGATGTACGGCAGCAATCAACAGCAATCGAGAAGCAGCTTTTCTTTTGTCAGCGTTTATCACGTGAGTTTTTGCACTCAATCTTGCCAGAAAGTATGCTCGCCAACAGTCGCCCAAACTGGAAACACTTCTCTGTGCGCAATCAAAATCAATCAATAATTGGGATTTATTGGAGTTTCATCATCATGGTTCGTAATGGAAGCGAAAGAAAATAAAGGTGATGCAAAAGACAGCAATAGGAGTAGAGTAGGAGTAGTAGTAGAGAGGAAAGAGAAGAGAAGAGGTAAACAACAGTGGAAAATGAGACGGGAGAATCAATCTTCGTGTGAAGTGAAGTGGGAAGCAAAAATTAAAAAAATATACAAAGCTACGATGAATTCGTGGTCGTGGTGTGGGGTTGAAGGTTGATTGGTAGGTCATTCCACTCACTCCTCCTCCTCCTCATCCGACTCTTCCTTCTTCATCTTTTTGTTCTTCTTCTTTTTGCTCTTCTTCTTCGGAGCCTCCTCGACTACCTCCTCTTCCTCTTCTGCCTCTTCGTCTTCCTTCACCTCCATCACTTCTTCAGCGGCTTCCTCTTCTTCCTCTTCCTCCTCCTTTTTCACCTCTTCAAACTTCTTTCGCTTATTACTCGGCGTGGCAGTGGTGTCTCCGCCGTCCTTGTAGGTGAAGACCTTCGACTTGTTCTCAAACTTGGCCGCATTGGCAAACTGCTTTCCTTGGCCACTGATCTTTCGAATGCCGCCCTCTTCCAGATTCTTCAGGCGACTTTCCAGGCGGGCGCGGTTCTGAATGCCCAGGTCATTGGTGGACTCCTCGCCGAGGGCGTCGACGCGAATGGCCAGCGCCGCCTTGGCGGCCAACATGCGCGACATCTTACCCTTGAACTTGATGTTGCTCTGGCTAATCAGCTGGGCGTGATAGATCAGACCGTACTTGGGCGTGTTGTGCTTTGTCTTCAGCGCCCGGAAGAGAGCCTTCTCCGCGCCGAGAATCTGCACCGTCGAAGCGGGGTGCTTCGCCAGGTTCAGCAGCGAGCCGGCGTGCGAGATAAGTCGAGCACCGACGAGCTCACCAACGAGAATGGTCAGATTGGGCGCAATGGCCATCATGCGGTTCTTCAGGTACTCAAAGAGCTGGGCGCGGTACTCGTGCAGGTCGAGGGCATTCCGACAGAGCGACTCGATGTTCTCCAGATCCTCCTGGGCGATCTCCGTGCCCATGGACACCTCGGCAATCTCCTTCACCTGCGTCTCCACCTCCTCGGGGAGGATCTCCGACAAGTCGGTGGTGACGGTGTTGGTGCGCATTCCCACCGCCAGCACCGTCTTGATGTAGGCGATGTTGTCGGTGACGATCTTGGAGAGCTCCGGAAAGTGCCAGCCGTACCACTCCTTGCTGCGCATGATGTAGTTGTTCAGCTCCTTGTCGATGTCATCAAGCAGTGCTAAAAGGAGAAAACAATTTAGAAATAGAATCCAATTTCAACAGTCGATTAATGTACTTACAAACAGCCTGGATGATCATGGTGTCCACCTTGTCAGGGCTAAACTTTAGCTTGTATCGTCCCAAACTGTAAAGATGGAAAAGAAAAGGGGGTCAATTTTTACATCAAATTCAAATCAACAGAGCGCCTAAATACTAAACAGATAAACATCAGCGGTAGTGACGAGTTTCTAAACATGGTTAGTATATTCTTTCACAAGTAAATAGTTTCCATCATTTGTTTATCTGCTAAATCAGGAATGCAAAAAATGGAAGTTCACTTACCCGTGACTGAGACCCAGCTGCATGGCGGCCTCCTCTTCTTCGGAGAACTCCGGAACTAGGTTCGCCATTTGCGAGCGAATGCAGGACATCAGCTCCTGGACGACATTGCTGGTCACACAGGAGACGTTGAACTTCTCCTTGATGGCGGCGGCCAGCTTCGCGTCAGACACTGCAAGCGTCTCTTCGACGCACAACGGCACGATCTTCTTGTTCAGAAACTTCTTTAGTCGCTTGCTGATCTTGCCCTCAATCAGCGCCGTAGTGGAGGCGAGCGCATCCGAGGCGTCCTTGAACTTCTGCACCTGTTCAAAGGAGAGCAGCTTGGTGGCCTTCTTTGCGTTCTGGAGCTCCTTGAAGAGCGACTCGGGCTTTTTGAGCTTACCCTCATCGTTAAGCTGTGCAAAATCTGATTAGTACCAGAGGCAAAAATCCCCCTCAAATTAACGTACCTTGAAAATGTAGTATCCCGACGCGGATTCAAAGAGTACCAGCATGGTCCGGCTGAAGTCTGGTGGACTGGAGGGCAAAACCGAGGTAACCGTTTGGAGGGTGATGGATGGATGGAGAGAGAGTGCACCAGCAGCAGAGGCAGCAGCAGCGAGAGAAACAGACGCTAGTAGCAGCGTGCACGGCGTGCGGCAAAACACGTGGATTCCGGCGGCAGTGCTGCCTCACCGAGGCGCGCAAAAGCACCTCTGGGTATCGAGTCGTCCATCGATCGATTGCCCACGACAATCGATTCCTCGATGCGCGGCCTGATGAGAACAAGGCGAAACTTGATCTGATTTGTCTATGGAAGATAACATGGAGAGAAGGCAATTTGACGGCAAATTGATTGCTTTTGCTGATCAGGAGCCATTCCTCGTCAGAGTTTAGAGGAGTTCGGTTGATTTATTTGGGAATCATCAGAACCGAAGATGGGAACTAATTTGATCAGGCAATACGATTCGCTCGGGCAATTAGATTGTTTCTGGTGAACTGGCCGGTCACTTATCGGTCAATTGCATCTGGGTAAGTAATCGCTTCTTGTACCCATTGCCAGTACCAGTAGTAATAACTGTTCGGCTATTAACTGCAGTAGAAGTGCTCCCATTTGGGCCGTTTAGTGGACGCCTGTCAGCAGTTCATTCGATCTGCTCTGCCAACTGCAAAACTACCAACTTTCCATGACGAATCGATCTTGATCGAACTGACGAAGTCCTGAACTATCTTTTCTATGTCTATTACTTTCTCATCATTTTCGATTTAGAACTGCTTCTGTAACATCAACCAATCGTAATGGTATGTAATTTTTCCACCATGTTTATTTATGCCATTTGATGGGATAGTTGCACTGCACTTTACACTTACTCCAACAACAACCCCAGCCCCAAGTACTTTGGTCAATTGGCCATCGTCTATTTTGGAGCAAACCAGGCACTCACTACTACTATTCAGTCTGCTCTTTCTTTCTTATTGCCCGTTTCACTGCCACCACGACCACTTGGCACAAACTTGGCAGTCCTGGTAATGGACACACATTCACTCACTCACTCTCTGGCAGACTCACTCACAAACATTAAACCGTCGCAAGCCGACGCTAAATGGCCATAAACGTGAGCAGTGAATCTATTGATTCGACAATGGAAATGGCTGCATGAGCAGCAAATAGAGCAGCACTTGCAGCTGAAGAATAATAAGCTCGATAAGAATTTAAATAAGCAAACACACATAAAGTTGCAATTATTACTAGCGATCATACTGCCATTACGAGAAGAGCTTATCTGCCGAGAAGGGGCGGCTGAAGACGGAGACGATCAAAGACACACACACAGTCTGTAGATGTGCCCCTTCTCAACTCTGCATTGACATTCCCATTGGTGGCACTAAAAGCACAGCAATCGGCGGCTCGCTTTTGTTCTCGCTCTCCGTTGCCTCACAACTGTCTGACTGAATCACGGTCCAAGAGCTGCATTGGCCATTCGTCGACTTGGTGCCCAAGTGGCTTCCCTTCCTCTTCTTTCATTCCATTTATAGGTTCAGATGGAGGAGATGCACAGGCGTCCGGGCGTAGTAGTGCTGATGCGCATTCAGTGTACAGCACAGTGCCAGTGGCCACCATCATCCAATCGTTAGAGGCAGTGTCGTTACGTGACTGTGATTTGGCAGGGGAAAGAAGATGCCACTGCTGCATCAGCTTAGATTGCTCCACATTTGCGGGCTAATTAAAGAGTGCTGCAGTGCAGTGCCCCACCACTGATGATTCCGCCAAATGAAGCAGCAGCAGCAGCAGCCAGGCAGCCAACTTAGGAAGATGCAAGCAGAGCAGTGCAGGCACCCACTGTAAGCTCAGCAGTGCTCAGCTCAGCCTTCACTTGCCTTCTTCTTTCTCCTGTCAGCGAGGATTAAATGGGAGTGAAATGGCGGGCAAATTGATTAGGCAAAAGATGTGAGTGAGTACGACATCATGCACGGACATATTGGCCCGGTGTGTCCCGTTCAGGGCGTCCGATAAATGGACTACTAGTCCCCGGAGAGAGTGCCTCCTGTGCCCTCTGCAATGAACTCTTATTGATTTGCAGTGGTGCACACACTGCTTACGAGTGCTTCACTGGCACACTGTTCACTGCACCCTGGCCCTGCTCTCTTTTCGGTCATAATTTAACGCCAATATTGCAATTTTGTTTGTCTGTCTGGTCTGATCTGCTTTCATTGTGTTTGTGTCGGATGAATCCTTCCTGTCGGCACAAACAAAATCGGTTAAGGACAGCGACGACTGCATCTGCGGCACTGTCGATGACAGTCGATGAATGGTGCCGCACCATTAGTTGGCCATTTGATTCAGTGCCGCAGATTTGGTCAGTTGCAGCCTGCAGCACCTATTGTTGCCCATTTCTCTTTCTCTCGTTGATCATCAGCAAATCAAAAGCAAAAGTAAGAACAACACCAACAATAAGGGCAGTCATAAAGTGAGTGCCCACTTTAAAATGGATCACTTTTCACTTTTCACAACTTTCTGGTTTGTTGTTGTTCGTGTTGTTGTCTTTTGTGGTGGTGGTAGTGCTTAATTGTTCAGGAAAGGCAGAGAACCACTTCGTTGCCACGGTCAAATTGCGCTAATTTATTGCCGTTCAGCGTTGGCTCGCTGGAGCGTGCGTTTGCCACGCGATGTGCTGCTGCACGCCAATTTAGAGAGGGGACTAGCAATGACTGTTTTGCAATGCCTGGGTATGTATGCCTGGCACACGCCGAGGGTCGTCGAGTTAGTCCTTGGGTGGTGGTGAGGCTAGGCAGGCTCATCCGACAACCATGATTTAGCCATTGCTGCAACTTAATCACCCAGACCAACTGGACACACATGAAGACGCTGCCTGGCCACACTCACTGTTTCCTCGCCTTCTTCTTCTTCTTCTTCTTCAGAGTTGACATTGTTACACGAGTGGCCAAAGTCGCTCTTGCTCTAGTCACTGGTTGGGTGGCAAATGAGGAAAAATGGCCACCACGGCGGCAGCAACAGCAACGTCAAATGTGAAACAAGTCAATTGACATTCGCTGCTGGCTGCCTCTGCCTCGACTTCAGGAGAAGTTCAAGTCTCGCCGAAGTAGATCGATCGATCGGTCGGTGCCTGCTCAATACTGCCTCACAATGTCACAATATTTACAGCGAGCACACCGAGGGTTGTCCTCTTTTGCTATGGGGCCTCCCGCGTTGGCAAGGCAGTGCTGCTGCTGTTGCTGCTGGTGTCATGCTAGAGCATAATTGGTCTCATAAATAATCAGCAGTGGAGAGAGAGAGAGAGCACGTCGTGCCCGGTGTGCCTGTCAATTGGTGCTGTAATTACCGCGTAAACTGATTCGCCAATGTGTCAACAAGCAGCCGAACAGGGAGGAGGAGGAGAAGGAGGACAGCACACGATGTTCTTGCGCCTCACATCTCGCTGTCAGAAGCTGGCAGCTTCTTTCTTCTGTCTTCAGCACCTCATGACAGCTCAATACCGAAGCTGCTGTAACAAAGCAGCACCTCCGAATTTAATCAATTGCAAATTAGTCTCCTCTCTTTATTATTAAACAGATTCATTGACAGTGGCAGAGCTGGGTGCACCATTCAATTGCTGCGATTGAGATTGCTCAAATCACTATTAATTGGAGAGAATGCTAATGAGGTGGAGGGAGGGAAGGCACTGCTGCTGCTGCTACTGTCGCTCAAGTGGTGATCGATTCAGTGCAGGTGCGAGGTGACTCTCGGGTCATCATTCATCGCCTCCGTCGGGCAAGTGTCACTCGGCTGGGGCTACCCCGATTGCACCCCGATTGTGTGAGCATTCTTTTCTCTGTGACATCCACTGTCCTGTGTAATACTATTCAATGGCAACTGCGTCTCAAATTTGCTCTTTTACTTACTCTACTGTTTTCCCTTTGTCAGTGTGGAAATGCACACTGCTAATTCGATCCTAATCCGCACATGTTCGTATGTTTTGCAACACTAGTAATGCTACTTTTGGGAACTGCAGCTACTGCAATTTTTGGCAGCCACATCAGTGTCACCGAGTCGAGTTATTAGCCGATTAGCAGGGGTAAATGTGCAAATTGTCGCTGACAAATCGATTAGCAGATTGACCAGAGCAGTAGTAGTGGCAGCTTTTGGCGACAACACGATTATCCTCAATTTGTCTTGGCCCATTTGCTGCTACTGCCGCGACGGTGATCGAAAAGCATTTTTGGTTCTAAAGTCAGAAAAATGCTGTCCACATGTTCGCACCAGCCTAATGACTGATTAATTAAAGTCATCTGGTCCTGGAAATTACTGTTGGCCAGCCAGCATTTCCCTTTGAGGTATACCGTCCTTTCTCCCTCAGCACACACACACACACACACTTGTTAGCATTCAATTAATTGAAAGTTCAAGAGTGGCCGATTTTTATTAGCTTTGCCCTCATTCGGTGCGCTTTCTTCTTTTGGTGCTCTCTTCACATTTGTCTCTGCCTAAATTGCTGCTGCCGCTGCTAAACTGCCGTACTCTTCACTGGCAAAGCAAAAACAGCACTAACTTCTGTCTACCCTTCACCACACACTTGGCCAGCAATCGTGTATGTAAGAAGTGCAATAAAGTGATCTGCCGCCAAAAAGGCCAATTGCTCAGGAGCAAAAATGAGCAATTAGAAGAGCAATTGCAGCAGCACTGGTAACGTTCGATGTCGCCGAAATGTTGCAGCACTTGCTCGCTCTCTCTCTCGTAACGAGTCATCATCATGTGTGCACTTGTCCCCTCACTTTTTTCTGGGCCCGGCCAACTGGATTGTCCAAAGGCACACATGATTGCCAAGTGATTGCTTTATAATTTGAAAGTTGCTATGGCTGAAGCCCAGGCAGCAGCAGCAGCAGCATCGACCCTAGCGCTGACCTCACTGTGATCAATACTCACCCACTCACTGACTGGCCCAGGCAGCGACAATTTGACTTTACGACCTCACTCATAAAAGTCAAAGGGTAGTGGCCCTGCACTGGTCAACTGACG